TCCCTGCTGAGAGAAAGGTAGATTAAAAGTTTTTAAATAAAGAACTACATCTGTGTCATATTTACCAGAGGCTCTTAAGAAGTAGCAGCAGCAAATAAAGTCTTCGGTTGTGAAAATATAGCCATGGGTTTATCAGAGCCCTTCCCAATCCAATCTGGAACTCACAGGTCTCTTTGTAAGGGACTGGGAAAGACTTGGATGAACTGAAAGTATTTATAAATTCAAAGACAATTTGAAATCCAGTTTGCCCCATCACCATGAAACCCAATGAAGTCTGCTATACCTGATCTCCATTTAAAACAAGCTAGAAAGTACAGGCAAATGTGGGTCTTGTCTATTATACATTATATCCCCACTCAAAGGATATAATGTCAAGCCTAAAGAAGAGTTGTGGAAGACTGAAAAGCTTGTGCTCATTATTTTGTAATATTTAGGTTGATCCTTAAAAAGCAGTACAGATAGCCATTATTCAGCAATATGCCGTGTGCTATTGAGCAGTTAGCTGATAGCTGGTCACAATACTGCATGAAGATCTAATGCTGAAAGGATGACTTATCTGCTGATATGCTGATTACTCCAGGACATCAGAAAGCAAGGAAAGTAATCAGTGAGATTTGGCAGCGATACCTTTTGAGATCTGGGTATCATCCAAACCACTTGTTCAATTTAATGGAGCCATTTATCTAAACACATTGTACTGATGTTTCTTTTATTTAAAATGAAGCCTTTACAAAGGTGCATTTCTAGACAACATATCTTACCAGTAGATATATGCCATCTAAACATAACTGAGGACTACCACCCCACTACATTTTGTAACTGTCCATAATGAGAGCCCCAGAGAACGTTTTATATCAAGATATTTTACTGGACTGCCATGGATCATGAAAAGTCTTTTTTATGTGACTGGGACAAATCTGTCACCTACACAATGGCTTTGTTTGCTGTCAGAATTAAATGAATCAGAATGTTAATTTATTCATAATCTTGAGTCACAGAGATCATTCTGATGTGTTGTGAATAAGTGCAATGAACTTCCTGTTCTAGGTAGCAAGCCCTTGACTTTTGAAAGCATAGTGAAGAAACAGTTGTGTCCATCCTGGGTTCCACATGAACTCCTGCCTATGGTATTCTTGAGAGCGTTACCTGAGATTTCATGGCCTTGCAGTGCACAGACTACCATGGTTTTAGAATACTGCAGCAGGCTCCTTCACAGCTGTTGTTAGGTGATGACCTGCATTTGCCCCTCTAAAGGCAAAGGAAAGTAGCAATGATGATCCTCTATACTGCCAGGGGTGTTTTATGTAGTGGCAGCCCAATTTTACTCCCTTCAGATATTGGCTGCAGATGGATGCTAGGTAGGGCTGTTTTGTAAGGCTTGCAAGTGCAAAGCTCTCCTGGAGGCCCCTCCTCCTCTGGTTCAATAAAGGCCCTGCCAAATCACGGGAGAAACTTTCACAACACTAGCTGCCCTCTTCCTTGGAAAGAAATTGAAAACTGCAGATCCATTTGAAAATCTAATGTATGTTGAAGAAATTACACCTAGTCCATTTACAAGCCACAATCCAGCAACAAAATGTAGGGATCTCGTGCAGTTAAACAAGGTAGTAATTTCCCCCAATAGTACCAACTATTAACATGGCAAACTGAACAAGTAGGAGGAGAAACTGTTTTTATCTGGTTTACCTGCTGCTGTCCCTGTTGTGCCTGTGATGCAGCCTGTTGATTGGCTGTGTTGTTTGCTGCAGCTGCTGCTTGCTGCTGAAACAAATTGGCTGGATATACTCCCCAAGGAACGCCGTAATACTGAGGAGGAACCACTGCTGGTCCTGAAAAGAAAATCCACCAGCATTTTGGTCTACTGCACATAATTTTGACATTTTGTATTAGTAGTACACATTAAAGTCGACCTGCCTACTGATATTCAGCACCCTGACAAATAAGTACCTCTTCTCCTCTTATTTATTGTGTCAATTTCTCTAAATGCTACAAGACGCCAACTACCACAGGGGCCCCAATTTATATCAGGACCATGCAGCAGAGGAAGGTGGAATTTCTGCCCTGCCACTGAAACAGCGGCAGGGCAGCATTATTTGCCCTGTGGGGGAATAGATGTACAAGCACTAAGTGCATGTGCAGCCCTCAACACAAATAATAACACCCCTGGGGCCATTTCAGGGCAGGTAAATATTGCAGGCAGGGGGGAGTCCTGCTCCAAATTGGGGCCCTGCAGCACTTCTGAAATGAGTTCCCGCAGGAAACTTGAAGCTGGTATCCTACTGCAAATACCCATGCTGAACACATGGTAGATACAGTCTGGCCCTAAAATACGTTTTGGTGTACAAACCCTGCTTAAGAAACCCATTTATCTTGATGTCTAAATATAGCCATTGATAATGTTCGTAAAACAGGACATTTATATACAGGCCAAATATGATGGCCATATCCAGCCACAGTTAAGAATACTCTTATTTTTAAAAGGGTGTAATTTTCTCCAGTTCCCCCTTCCCACTAAATTCCAGTTAGCCTCCCCCCCAATTTTGTTCCTGGGACTCAGTGAGGGACACTCAGGAACAGCTTAGTGTTGGGTCTGCAGTGGGAGGGGGGAATTAATGGAAATCACCGCCCACTCATAAGAAGCTTAAGTACCCTTATATTTCCATATTGTAGTCAGATAATGCTGATGTTTCCACCACCACTTCCCTTTGGGTTTCCAAGTCCCTATGCCATCTTTGCCTGATAGTAAAAGCTAAGCCAAACAACTAATTCCCTGCAATTCCCTTAGATCTGTGAACACACAGTGAGTGCTAGGAGTCAGGAGAGACAAGGTGCAATGCCCACCCTAATTAACTGAAAGGCTCTAGAAAATAAGAGCAATTTCATTATTAATTAGTAAAATGGTATTTGAAGCCCTGACAGTGGACAGCCAATCATATGACGTGTACTTGGACCAATGTCCTTATATTTGACTAGCCTGATACTCATGCTTCGCTACAGTATTTAAGTTCTGTAAATCCAGTTATAATACTGATGATGTGAAGTTTGAAATGTAACATTTGTTGTAGGAATTCTAATGGAGAAGACTGTCGTGTAAGAAATGAAGTGAGACATACGTACTTTTTTCTCTCTCTACTGAATGACCTCTCTGTAGACCACATTGATGGTTCTGTCCTCAGGTGCTAGGACCACCAGGCTGCTTAATGAGCTCACTCTGGAGCAGGCCACATAGAACTGTCCATTTAAGAAGCAGTCGTCTGTTAAGTCAACTCCTGCCACCTTCCACGAAAGTGATGGCCTCTCTACTTGTGTTCCTGGATTGTTTTGCTCATATGGGGACTGCGTTGTTCTGAGCACCTCAGGGTGATCTTGCTGGTACTTGGCCTGTGCAGCTCAGTGCACTGCAGGAGTACTATGTGCAAATGTCTTTGCCGCATTCCTAAGTTGCCTCCTCCTTGTAGCGTTGGTGTATCTGGCTAGACGTTTGCCAAGAGCTTTCTTGGGGGCAGTAAGAGGTGAGAGGTGTGAGGGGGAGTTGGTGTGAGGGAGTGGTGATGTGGTGGACATTTCTTCAGGTTCATGAGGGAGGCACGCATCGAAATAGCTCCTAGAAATGTCCTTTACTATCTCCCCATTAACATTCATACCCTGGCCCTGCTCCTACA